TAAACCCTAAACCCTAAACCCTAAACCCTAAACCCTAAACCCTAAACCCTAAACCCTAAACCCTAAACCCTAAACCCTAAACCCTAAACCCTAAACCCTAAACCCTAAACCCTAAACCCTAAACCCTAAACCCTAAACCCTAAACCCTAAACCCTAAACCCTAAACCCTAAACCCTAAACCCTAAACCCTAAACCCTAAACCCTAAACCCTAAACCCTAAACCCTAAACCCTAAACCCTAAACCCTAAACCCTAAACCCTAAACCCTAAACCCTAAACCCTAAACCCTAAACCCTAAACCCTAAACCCTAAACCCTAAACCCTAAACCCTAAACCCTAAACCCTAAACCCTAAACCTTAATCGATTGCTACGAAGGAGGTTTGGGACGCAGTGTGGCGGTGACCTTGTGTTGGCTCGTGGCTGCTCGTGAAATGGATTCTTTAGCGGCACAAGAGTATCTGAGTGGGAAACGCCACGTGCGCAAAGTCGCTTTACATGCATCCAAATGTCCGTGCGATCTACCACAAGATTTAGTCGTTCAATGAAGGGGACAAGCAGGATGAAGATACGTGTCGGCGAGTTGGAAGCCATCTCTATCAAAAAGATCCGTGGGTGAATTTTATGGACCGATCTGTTCGTACGCTTATTTGCCTTATTGTTTCTGTGTACTGCAGGGATGGAGTGCTGCCAAGGAGAAGGAAAAAAACCCTGGATTCTGTCCGATCAGAAACTTCGCGTCGAGAACGTCTATGCGTTGCTGGATATCCACATGGCGAACTTTGAACGGTACATGATCGAGAAAATGGAGGTGCAGTTAGAGAGTAGTGGAGTTGGGCGGGGTGGATTGACGAGAATGCGGACTCATGGGCTTTGTTTGCTGTGGAAATTTGTCGCTGAGTTGGCGCGCTAGCAAGCATTTACCATGCAAAAGGCCTGGGACTCTTTGCGGCGCCATGTCAATCTATTGCAAAGCTCTACACTGCCAATGTAGGACATCTGAAAGGGGCAGCGCACGTGAGTCGTAGCAGAAGCAGAGAACGCCAGTCACTTAATCGCTCATAATTCTAAGTTTAGCTTTGAAGCTTTGTAAGCGTGTTTTGTATCCTATAATGCTGCGGCAGAGCGTCGTCGTTCTGGCTCTTTTTTCCTGCGCTTGCTCTGCCCAAGTTTTGTAATGGGCCACCCCATTACATATGTAGGTTCAATTAAGTTTACATGTTACTTAAGTAGGGGTGTTACTTTCGGAGTAGCGAAAGTAGCACGTCGTATATTTTTGCTGGTTTAATGGGCTCAGTACCATTATTAGCCAGTAAGATATAGGCACGTAGATTGAGTGGTTCCCATGAGTCCAAGGGAACCATTCGTACTTAGGGTGATTTAAAAGACAAAAATACAAACGGAGTTAAAAATACTTAATACCTAAGACTTGGGCTTTAAGCTTCCTCAAAGCGTTAGAAATAGTGTACGCTAAGTACAGGTCATTCTAGCCCCGTTACACCTGGTAGCACTTAGTAGTCCTTCCCATGCCCGGGTTTGGGATGAGCGATTCGTCGTACTTTGACGCTCCAGACGTGAGTCTAGAGCACGCGACTTTTCCCCATCTCACTGGTGTTGAGTGGGATGCCCTAAATCGCCTCGCGGCGATATCTGGAGAGGCCTTCGTTGTGTCGCTGATGAGATCAGCGACTCCTGATGGACAGCGTCTCGCCATACACGACTACATGGCTCGCGAGCTCGCCGGATCCCATCGGCGAGGTTTAACTCCCTCGCGGACTTCACGGAACGATGCCGTGAAGATGGAAACCTTCGCCTATTCTGGCGAAGGAAAGAACGCTTGTCGTTGTCTCGTTGGTTTCGAGAGGTCGACATCGCTATCGCCTCGAGACTTCTTGAGGCTCCTCAAGCGAAGGTCAATTTCCTTCTTTCCCGTCTCACTGGGTAAGCCAAGGAGTGGGCCTTGGGAAAACTCGTTGTTGACGAGTTTGCGTTCCCCACTCTGAAGCCATCCAGAGTGACCTTCGTCTCGCCTTCGAGCCGCCCCAGGAAGAGAAGTTGGTGCGTTCAAGGTTCCTGTCCCTGCGACAGGGTAAGATGTCCATGCGCGACTACGTGCAGATGGCTCGACATCTGGCGTCTTGCATTATCACGCATCCCATGGACAAGTATACACAAGTGAACGTGTTTGTCAATGGCATGCGTGAAGGGCAGACTCTCCTCTCGCTGGAACGAGCAGAGCCTGCCACGTTGGAGGAGGCTTTCGCTATCGCTCTCCGTGAGGACTTCAGAGTCACCAAGGCCTATACCAAGCCTTCAGTTGTTACTGCAGTCAGATCAGCGAGCCCAGAAACCTATGGATCGATGCAATTGAGTCGTCGGGTGACCGACGACGCGCTACAGCCTACAAGGGCGACGTCCGAGGCGGACGTCAGATGATCTGCTTTCGATGCCGAAAGCCGGGACATCGCGCGGCTGAATGCCGCGCGCCAGCACCGATGTCGGTGCATGCGACGGACACCCATCATGAGGGAGGTGTTCCGATCAGTCGTCCAAAAAATGGACGAGACCAGTAGGTGCAGGACGCCCTACTGGTTTGAAGGGGGGTCCGGGTCCACCGGTGGCAGCCCCCGACCTCCCAGCCCATCTGTGCTGCGTGCACGGTCAAATGCCACCACTACGAGTGGTGATTCACGCCTGATTATTGTTAATCTACATGTCGCCGGTATCCGGCGACCTCTACGAGCGCTCCTGGATTCAGGAGCGACAAACAATTTCTTCTGTGAATCTTGCGTGTCAATGCTGCCACCCAGCATCCAGATCCACGAGGGACCTGGCCAAGTTGTTGTCAAGCTCGCTGACGGGTTACCACGCCGCGTATCGCGGCGCGAAGTGTCTTTGCCGTACACGTTTGACGGCTTTCGCAGTAACGACAATTTCTTGGTGATTGAAATAAATTATTCATTCGATTGCATCCTGGGCATGCCATGGTTGGCACGCTATAAGCCCCAGATCGACTGGTTAGCCAGATCAGTGAGACGTCGAAGCAAGTTCGACGTCAGCGAAGTGTTCACCCATCTCTTGGTGTCTCCAAGTGATTGGCCGAACGTAACAGTAGTGGATCGTACATCCACGACACCGGCGGTACACAGAGTGAGCGATGGCCCTCTCTGTACCGCTTGTTCCGTGCCCCTACGCACGAGTGATGATGTCTCCTCGCTTTGCAGCGAGGAGTCCGACGTGGACGAACAGTGGCTCCCGCCTAATGACGACGCGGACGAGCAGTGGCTCCCGCGCGACGACGACGCGGTCGAACAGCGGTTCCCGCACGAGAGAGCAGTGGTCGAACACGAACAAGTGTTCCCACCTGCACCTATTGTGGTCAAGCAGAGGCTCCCACAAGGGCAAGATGTGGCCGAGCAGGGGCTCGCCACCGAGTGTGACGTAGATGGACACGAGTCCCCACGTGCGAACATGATGGTCGAACAGGGGTTCCCATCGTCGCCTACTGTGGTCGAACAGAGTTCCCACATGAGCAAGACGTGGTCGAGCAGGGGCTCCCACACGAGTTTGTGGCGGTAGAGCAGGGGCTCCCACATCATGCGTCGACGGACAAGTATGGACTACTCCCGTCACGCGATTTCGACGTCCTGGATGAGGACATCCAGCGTCTAAAGGGGGGTGCAGATTTAACACCTGACTGCGGTTCGCCAGCTTCGAGCATGGACTCGAAGCACGATAAGGACGCAAGCCACGAGAACTCAGCGTTGGAATGTGTCCACGCTATTGTGTACGTGGACGGGAGTCCACAAAGGCGCCAATACATTGAGGTCGCGAGTCCACCTCGCGACGCGTCGTCGATTACGAGCCTTCTAGGACTCTCCTGGAAGCATTTTCTACGTGACCTCAAGGGAGTCACGGTGGAACAAGTATGTCTGGTCACCAACGAGGTGACCTATGAGCCGAATGAGGAGCGAATGACGCGCCCTCGAAGCGCTGAGCAAAAGTCAGCGCGCTAAGAAAGATTTGCGTCGCAATCTTGGGAGGCTCTGCGCGAGTCTGGTAACCCTGTTTACGACATTGCACGAGAGTACGCCGACGTGTTCCACGACAAGATTCCGGCCGAACTCCCTGCCGATCGTGGCGTGCGGCACGAGATTGATCTCGTGCCAGGATCGAAATATTGTGTGACACGCCAGTGGCCGTTGCCTCGAGACCAAGTCGAGGCTATTGATGCATTCTTCGAAGGTCGTCGCAAGGCCGGTCATGTGCGTGAGAGTGTCTCACCCCATTCGAGCCCAACCTTCTGCGTGAAGAAGGCTACGGGAGGCTGGCGTATAGTGCATGCGTTTAACCAGCTCAACGATGCAACTATTCCTGCCCAAACGCCTATCCCCAGGAAAGACATGGTTCTAAACTCCATGTCAGGTAGCGTCATCTTCAGCGCCATCGATCTGACCGATGGCTCCTACCAGATCTTGATGCGACAGAGTGACATACCACTCACTGCGGTGAGCACCCTGAGTGGTATGCTATGGGAGTGGCTGGTGATGCCACAAGGATTGAAAAACGCACCAGCCACTTTCAATCGCATGGTATCTCAAGTGTTGAGACCGCTTCGAGACTTTGCTCCTAGCTACTTCGATGACATTTTTGTCCACAGTCGCGCTGAGGCCAACCTCAGTGCTGTCCAAGTTCACCTTCAACACCTGAAGCAAGTGTTTCAAGTCATGCGAGATAACAAGTTATATGCAAACTTGAAGGAGTGTGTATTCTGTGTACCGAAGATTCCGGTGCTGGGCTGCTACGTGAGTAAATCGGGTGTTCGAGCCGATCCAGAGAAGGTGTCTTCAATCTGTTTTTGGCCCACACCCAAGAACCCTACGAATTTACGTCAATGGCTCGGTCCAGCTAATTACTTGCACAAGTACAAAAAGGATTACGCCGGTTCTATACAGCCCCTGTCGTCACTTCTGAAGAAAGACGCCACATGGTCGTGGCGTCCCGAACATCAAGCAGCCTTTGACGCAGTGAAGAAGAGCCTGGCGTCGGCGCCAGTGTTGATACTCCCTGACGACACCAAGCCGTTTCACGTGGTGTGTGATGCAAGTGACTTTGCAATTGGTTGCGCCCTCATGCAGTTCGATCATGAGGGCCGTGAACGAGTCGTGAGCTACCAGTCACGACAGATGAAGCCGGCAGAGAAGAACTATCCGGTTCACGATAAGGAACTGCTAGCGATGCGCTATGCACTCATCAAGTTTCGTGTCCACCTACTGGGCGAACGCACGTTCGCCCTGTATACTGATCATGCATCGCTGCGAACAGCAATGAAGAGCCCACACCTGTCACAGCGGATGGCACGGTGGATCTCTTTCTTCTCCGATTACAACTTCGTCGTGCACTACAAGCCAGGCAAGACCAACATTCTTGCTGACGCACTGTCACGACGCCCAGATTACGATCCTCGTGTGGCACTGAGTCGTCAGGCAACTGACGACGAAGATGAAGACGATCGATGTGCGACGTGTGTGTCGTTGAATCTAACTCGGTTCACACCCGAGTTATGCCTTTTCGATGAAATTGTCGCGGCTTACGCGAACGACCCGGATTACGCGGACATTATCGCCTATCTGCGCGCTCCCAGTGAGGCTGCACTGGGAGCTCTTTCGCGAACGAAGCGTGATCACATACAACGATACAGTGTGGACGGTGATTTGCTGTTATATAGCATCGACAAATTCGATGCACCTCGGACGGTGATTGCGAATGACTTGGATTTGCGTGCTCGTATCATCCACGAGTACCATGATGCCCCAATTGGCGGTCATCTGGGCCGCGAAAAGACATTCGCGGCTGTCTCGCGTGACTTCTTCTGGCCCCACATGTACAAATGGGTTCGCAACTGGGTTCACACCTGCGAAATATGTCAGCGCGTGAAGCCATCTCCATCGTCGCAGGCACCCCTGCGACCCCTGCCAATTGCAGCTGAGGCTTGGAGCTCAGTCTCGTTGGATTTTATCTTCGGGCTTGCACCAGATGGCCAAGACCGAACGGGTATTCTGGTCTTTGTCGACATTTTCAGCAAGATGACACATCTGGTGCCTGTTCATGCAACGATCACCGCGGCTGAGACCGCGGTGCACTTCATTGACACTGTGTTTCGCCATCACGGTCTACCAGACAACATTATCTCGGAACTTGATCATCGTTTTACATCTGCTTTTTGGAAGTCATTGTTCGAGTTGCTTGGCACAAACCTGCAAATGTCGACAGCAGCCCATCCGGAAACGGATGGGCAAACAGAGCGAGTTAATCGGGTCCTCGAAGATGTTCTTCGAAGTTACGCAACGTCCTTTACAAGTTGGAGCGCTTTTTTGCCACTCGCGGAGTTTGCACTAAACAACGCGGTTCACGCGTCAGCGGGGTTGAGGCCATTTTTTGCAAATTCGGCCCGTCATCCTCGTGTACCTACTCTTCTTGCCGTGGGTCAGCCCACGGCTCTTCGTGGCCCCACTCTGGCGGGGGTGATAACGATAAACAACGATCGAGTGAAGCTCACGGTATTCTGAGCGCAAATGTTGTCAACCATTCCAAGGCGAAGTCTTCTGTTTCGACGCCACGTGACGTGGCGTCCCCGCTCGCTCAATGGACTGCACAGACGCTGATCGATTCTTCTTCGAGTATGCGAAACCCTAAAGCTAACTACGCGCCGATTGAATCGGCGCGACCAATTGATGACATGGCTGTGTCAGAGTTTATACTCCAACGTCAAGCCATCACAAGGTTTGTACGCGATACTCTTCGATCTGCAGTGGATAAACAGAAAGCGAATGCAGACAAACGTGGAAGAAAGAACACGAGTACATTCAAGAAGGGTGATCGTGTATTGTTAACTACCGAAGGCCTACGAGATTCAGCAGTAACCAATCTAGGCGCGAGCAAACTCGCGCCACGTTTCATCGGACCATTCACGGTACTCAAGGCGTTCGGCGACGCATACACGCTGGCCATCCCTTCGTCACTGCGACTTCACCCGACGTTTTACGTCGGGCGGCTCAAGGAGTACCGTCCAGCTACGCTTCACGGGTTGGCTCCGTCCTCGGAGTCAAAGGCTCATAGGTCGACCTTCCCTCTCGCCTTGCTTGACGCGCCAGCGACATCGGACGCGGCTGCGTCCCAGTCTGCGCGTGGCCAAGAACCTGGCGTTACAGGTTCCGCATCCGTTCAAGCAGCTTGCGGTTCGAGTGTCATATCTCGTTCGCTGTTCTCTCAGCCCGCGCAGCTCGGTCAAGGGCAGCTTCAGCCTCCAGCTGGGCATCAACAACCTTGTTCACAGCCGCATCTACATCGTCCTGGGCAATCAGGGCGCCAGCAGTACCATCGTGAGGGTCCACCACCGCTTGTGGACGCGGAAGGCTAGAAGCGCTGGATTGTGGAGCGTTTACTGGGTCACGAGGACCCTCGTCGCGAAACGACATCGTCGCGACACCATGAGCGCGCGGTTCCAACCGCGCGCAAGTATTATGTACGTTGGCTCGGGTTTCCACCCGAGCAGGATACGTGGGAATCGCGCTCTTCGCTTCTTCGAGACGTTCCGGACGTCGTTCGGGCTTACGAGTCCCTGCACACGCTTGGTGCAGACTTGGTCGACGACCTGTGTGTTCTCGCGGTGAGCGAGAGCGAGATGCACGACGACGGTGTCGTGGTAAAGTGTCACCACGACTACGAGACCGAGAGCGATTGCGAGAACATCGTGGTGACGTTTCACCACGGCAACGAGATGAAGAGCGACGACGAGAACGTCGCGACGAGCGTGTATCGCGACGATCACGCGAACGAGAACGTTGTGGCGAGTGCATGGCACCACGACCTCGAGAACGCGAGTGGTGTCGCCAGCGGGACGCGCCACGATTAACCGCAGTTTTGCGCTCCATCAAGCTGCACTTGTATCGTCCGATCCAGAGCTGCCCATACTCGCTGAGTGGATACTATGCGACGTGTCGTTGCCAAGCTTCGCGAGTTGGACGAGGCATCGAGTCACAGGAATAACAAGATTCGTGCACGTGAACGTAGCAGAGTCGATCTACGTTCCATGCGTTTTCACAGATCTTCTCGCGCAGTACACCGACGGAATGATCGGCGTGGATATCTTCACGATTGGCCAGCCACTGCTGAAAGTTTCTTCCGTCTTCCAGCATCCGGTTCCACCGCCGGATGAACGCACACCATGACCGCTGGAGCAACTCGTACGAGATGCCATCAAGACTCTTTCCACGCAACCCACGAAAATGCCGGAAGTAGTCCTGCATCGTTTCGAGAGAGTCCGGAGCTCGAGCTCCGGACAAGTCATACAGCGCCCAAGGGATCAGGTGCCGATCCATCACGTGGTCGACTAAACTCCCGCTGATTGTGCGCGGGAGTGCTGTGGTGTTGGCGTCTGCGTCTTCAGTCATCGTTTGGCTTGTGCGTCGTTGGGTCTTGTGGTTGAGCACTCACGGTTCGTGAGTGCTGTCTTGAGAAGGGGGTGATGTAATGGGCCACCCCGTTACATAAGTAGGTTCGATTAAGTTTACATGTTACTTAAGTAGGGGTGTTACTTTCGGAGTAGCGAAAGTAGCACGTCGTATATTTTTGCTGGTTTAATGGGCTCAGTACCATTTTTAGCCAGTAAGATATAGGCACGTAGATTGAGTGGTTCCCATGAGTCCAAGGGAACCATTCGTACTTAGGGTGATTTAAAAGACAAAAATACAAACGGAGTTAAAAATACTTAATACCTAAGACTTGGGCTTTAAGCTTCCTCAAAGCGTTAGAAATAGTGTACGCTAAGTACAGGTCATTCTAGCCCCGTAACAAGTTCTGAGAGTTTAGACATACTCTTTTGTAGCTTTCGCCACAATGAACCCTTTTCCTGCAGTTTGCGTTGTCGACTATCTGTGCCAATACCGAATTGCTGGCGCCGTGACAGTCCAGGTGAGGCCGCCCAACTTTGCGGAGAGTCGCAATAATTTTCCAGCAATTTGTCACTGTAAAAGCAACGTTCCTGCGTTGCACAAGTTAAGTCGTGTCAGCAAGGGCCACGCAAGCGAATAGACGAGTTGACTTCCCACCTCTTCTAAATTCTCGTAGACCAAATGTGCAGACACATTCAAGTAGTTAGCAAAGCCCAGGTGTAGCTGTCGGAATGCAAGCACAAGAGAAGTTTCCAAGTCAGTAACTCCACTTCCACTCGTCTAGTCTTCTGCTATCGCTGGTTTCTCACTTGCACTGTGGAAGAAACACTTGACTTCGGGATGACATAGGGGTCGCTTCGGACACAAATGATACCCCGCAGCGCGACTCAGAATGTTACAAGAAAGCCACGCGTTACATTCAAACGCACTGCTTTTTAGTCATGACACATTTGCACACACAAGCAGTCAGCAATATGTAAACTACAAAAAAGTGGAGACATGGAGACATTCACAGAGACAAGCCGCGCAGTAAGCTGGTCGCCAGCCGTGCTGAACCCTCTCATTTTGGCAGCCTCCACGCAAAATGATATCCTGTAGCGACCTTGTTCTCATATATCCCACTACCATACAAATTGAGCTTCGTGGACGATTGACAAATGCCTTATAGTAGGATACAATGTATGGGCGGGTCTACTCATTACAAGCAAACGCACTAGTTTTTTAGTCGAAACATACTGTGTACACATATGTGTGCAGTTGCGTACCTTGCTTTATGCTTACCCTTGCTCTTTCCGGTCGAAAACGTTGCGATATCGGGCTGTCACTATCTGCCGAAAATACAAGATTGAATAAAGCGCATGAAGCTTACGCACCATTTGCCGCCGCTGGTCACGCCCGTAAACGGATACATCCTTTATTATGAATAAACACTTTCTGCGCTATGTCACTCGCAGTCTGGTCGCTTCTAGACCACATAAGTACGAATTAGTACCAGACCGCCGAATGCTATTGGAATAGTTCTGGACGCACCGTCTGCAGACTGAAAGCCCGACTCTGACCCTGAAGTAAGATTCAATTTCATCACCGCCCGCTGTGTGGCACTGGGGTCATCGCTAAAGTCACTTTGTAACGGGGTCACACTAGCCTTCGGCTGAATTGGTCAAAGACCTCCCATGAATGATATGAATGAATGTGTGTGACCTTGGATTTTATATCAGCAAGAGATTATCGATTGATCGATATTCCCGGGTTTACGGTACTTACCGTGTACGTACTGTGTACCGTCATCATTTGATGACTGAGTGATGTGGCAACCATTTAGGATAATATAGGGTACATAAAGTAGGATTTTCCCTGATTTAAAATCTAAATAAAGTTCAGTTCTCATTTCGAGCAGAAGTCCCTGGACTTCCTCCCCCTTTCGCACCTTGCGTTTGACAGTTCCTTAGAGCTGTTGTGGGTTAGAGAGTCCTTAGACTCCTGTATTCCCTTTTCGCACATTGTACGTGTAGTTCCTTAGAACTACAGTAGTTAAGCTGCTAGATCATAGAGTTCACCCGAGTTCCGTAGAACTGGGTGACTCTTTAACTTGATTTGTTAGTTCCGTAGAACTAATAGGCTGTCAGCCGTAAGCCGTTGGATTGTTGAATAAGTCTTCCTCTGACTTTAAAGGCTGTGTAGCTCCGCTACACTTGGTAGCACTCGTAGTCAATCCCACACCTGAGTCGTGTCGACTAATCCTCTGTGAGAGATGAAAGGCCTTGACTACCTCTTTGAGTCTCAACATACTGCGCTTGATAAGCTTACATCGTTGATAGGTGTCGATCAGGTCGACCACATTGTGGCCCAATGCCCAGAAGTGCTTAGTGCAAGTCTTAATGCATTTATGCAGTTTGAGGCTACGCTGATAGGGCAGGTCCACGACCATTTATCCTCAGCCGTGCCTACACGGTACTTTTCAGTACCCGACAGTGAGACAAAGACTCGTCCGCTCACCCTTAGCGTTAAGACTTTCGAGGGGAAAGAGGGGGAAGTCTCCTCTCTGGATCCGAGAAATCGATGTGGCTATTGAAGCCTCCTTGCTTCAATCGGAGCGACAGAAAGTTGGCCTAGCCATTTCTTAGCTCGGTGGCAGAGCCATAGAATGGGCTCTTACCTGTGATACGTCGGTTAGCGCTGCGTCTCCCGCATGGGATTCGCTTAGACGAGAGATGTCTCGGGTGTTCGCGCCACCGAATCAAGCGTATCGTGTTCGCTCTCGATTCCTAGCCGCCAGGCAGGGAAAGAGAGAATTATCGGACTTTGTCCAAGAGTTGCAAACTCTCATAGCTGCTATGCAGCTGGACCCTCTTCCAGAGTAAGTCCGTGTCACCATTTTTATGAAGGGCCTCCGCACGGGGATCGCGAGGACAAATGTCTTCCGAGTCCACTCCTTAACGTTTGAGGGGGCTGTAGACAAAGCGTTGAATGCTGAGTTCAACTTTAAAGCCGCTCGCTATGGCACTCATAAGTATGCCCCAAGACCATTTGATGGGTCTGAGCCCACGGACCTCAGCCATGCTAAAGAAGAAAAGAGAGAGCTTCTGGCTGTTGAACATCAACGTAACGCCTAACGCCAACGAACATCAACGTAACGTCCGTAGATGTTACATGTGCGGAATCACCAAGCACTTGCGCCCTCAGTGCCCACTGCGGAAGCCGCGTCAATGTCGGCCGTGCCGCAATTCGCCTCCTAACTTGAATGTGGGTACGGAGCGGGAAAACGGCAACTCCCAGTAGGCGCGAGCGCCCTACTGGGGAGGAACTAGCTTCTGCCGAATATTTAGGTGGTATGGATAGACAGGGATCAGCCCCAGACGGTCTCGTGGAAGTTTCCACGAGACGTGAGTATAAGCCAGACTTTTTAGTGGCCTCGGCTACAATTAAGGCCTTCGAAGAGACGTGGTCAATATTAATTGACTCTGGAGCGTTAGACAACTATGCTCGACGCCGGTCCCTAGAGAGATGCCAGCAATATGTTGAGGCGCTGAAAGTGCATGAGGGTGATGTAATCACTGTTCACTCAGCGACAGATACTCGTGTCACCTTCCCTAATGTTCCGTTGAACTTAGGTGTGAAATGTTTAGATCTCGATAGTATCGAACGTTGTCTGGTCCTGGATTTGAACTCGAGATATGATCTCATCCTTGGTATGGCTTGGATTCAACGCCATGAGCCATGGGTTGATTGGAGGTCGAAGACCTTAGGCGCAACGCGCAACCGTCTAGTGAAGCTCTGGAGAGTCATGAACCTACCTTTGCTAGGCAACAAAAGAGCTATTGGCGCGCGCCATTGACGAAGTCTTTCAGTGTGCTTGACGTTGGAGTGTCTGAGCTAGTTAACTTTGATGTCATTGACAATGAAAAACGGCACATAACATGTTATGTGACACTAGTAATGACAGTGAATCATGAATGCTGGAAGCATTGATGGCTTAAGGCCGAGTCATCCTGGGTGTGATCCCTGTGATGCGCGTCGAGTGGCACGTAAACATCCACAGAGTGAGGTCGGCAGTGATGGCATCCCACTAAATGTCGGTAACGATGTTGCTGGCGATTCGCCAAGGCATCAAGAGCTATGCTCAACAGATGCGAACATAGTGGATAACTATCCACAGAGTGAGGCCGGCCGTGATGGCACCCCACTAAATGTCGGTAATGATGTTGTTGGCGATGCGCCAAGACAGCAAGATCTATGCTCAACAGACGCGAACATAGTGGATAACTGTCCACAGAGTGAGGCCGGCCGTGATGGCACCCCACTAAATGTCGGTAATGATGTTGTTGGCGATGCTCCAAGACATCAAGATCTATGCTCAACAGATGCGATTATAGTGGATAACTGTCCACAGAGTGAGGCCGGCCGTGATGGCACCCCACTAAATGTCGGTAATGATGTTGTTGGATATGCGCCAAGACATTAAGATCTATGCTCAACAGACGCGATTATAGTGGATAACTGTCCACAGAGTGAGGTCGGCCGTGAGGGCACCACACTTAATGTCGGTAATGACATTGGCTCTCTAAGAGAGCAGGTCGAGGTTGAAGATAATCTTCACCTCGTAGAACCGGATGTTCCTAACACGTTAAAGTGTTCAGTTTCTAAACAGAGACGACAGCGACGCCAGATGGCGGCTGTGAAAAGAAAGGCTTCTGCCATGACCCAGAAGGACACTAGTGAACAGTTGTCCACGTTAGTCATTGGGTTTCGGGTGCGATTGATGGAGAAGTTGGCCTCGAGGCCCTCCCATCGGTTAATGCTCTTCTAGAGCTAAACGAAATATCTGTAGACGAATTTCAACAAGCTTTAAAGGCTAATGCTATTTCCGATACGGTGGTCCTTAGACCTGATCTTGAGTTGAACTCGTCAGCCCTTGCAGATGAGACAGTCCTTGAGGACGTTAAAGTTGCACTCAGTCCTCGCAGTGGATCTGCCATTTTGAAGGATCCTTCGGATCCCTTCTATCCTATGGTAAAGGAATTTCAGGACGTGGTGTGTCATGATCCACCATCCACTCTACCTCCCGACAGAGGTGTGCGTCATGAAATTGACCTGATCCCTGGGAACAAATATTGTGTTACACGACAATGGCCATTGCCTAAGAAACAGTTTGACGTCATTGACGAGTTCTTTCGTGCAAAGCACGCGGCAGGCATGGTGCGGGAAACAAATCTCCACACTCCACACCGACATATTTTTCAGAAAGCCCAATGGTAAATGGCGTATTGTGAACGCTTACAATAAGCTCAATGCGGCCACTATATCTGCGCAGACACCCATTCCAAGAAAGCATTTTCTTCAGAACGCTATGGTGGATTGCACCATGCTTAGCGCACTCGACTTAGTCGATGGTTATTACCAACTGCTCATGCGAGCGAGTGATATCTCGCTCACAGCGCTTAGCAAGCCGAGTGGCATGCTTAGGGAGTTGCTTGTTATGCCTCAGGGACTTTCTAATGCCCGCGCAACCTTTAATCGTCTCTTGACGCAGTTGTTCTGCCCTCATAGAGGATATGCACAAGGCTATTTTGATGACATTTTTGTCCATAGCCGTGCAGAACAAGGAAGATCAGATGTGGAAAATCATATTGACCATTTACGAGCAGTGCTCGGGTGCATGCGCACCAACAAGTTGTAAGCAAATGCATCTAATTGCATTTTTGTGTTTTGGTGCTGAAGAAATCCCCTCTCTAGGGTGCTTCACTGTAAAGAGCGGCCTACAGGCAGATCTCGCTAAGGTAAAATCCATTGTGGATTGGCCGGTTTCGTCCAACCCAAAAGACTTGCGTAAATGGCTTAGCCAATTACTCACAAAAGTATAGTGCAAACTATGCTGACATGGCACGGCCATTAGCCAACCTCCTTTAAAAGGACGCGGTTTGGTATTTGGACTCGGTCCAGGCGCAAGCTTTATAAGCTGTTAAGGAGAGTCTCCTTCATGCTCCAATTTTGGCTTTGCCTGACCCGGAGTGACCTTTCACTGTCGTCTGTGACGCATCTGAGTTTGCCATTGGCAGTGCATTGTTGCAAACTGATGTCGATGAACATGAGCGCGTCATTGCGTATGGGTCTCACCAGCTAAAAGCTGCTGAAAAGAACTATCCAGTTCATGACAAAGAGTTACTTGCAATAAAGTTTGCTCTTGTCAAGTTCAGAGTACATCAACTTGGCTCCAAGCCGTTTGTAATATACACGGATCATGCATCGTTGCGCACTGCGACCCAGTCGCCTCATATCTCGCAACGCATAGCCCGTTGGTTTTCATAATTCGCTGAGTATAACATCGAGGTGAGGTGTAAACCAGGGAAGCAAGCTGCTTTGGCCGATGCGTTATCACGCAGGCCGGATTATGATCTTGCTCATGTTACGACTCTGTCGTCTTCTATCCCTGATTTAATTTGTGCGGCTAATGCCAAGGATAATCAGTGTGTCGCGTTGTTACGCGCGCTCGGTTGTGATGACTTTATAGACTCGGACATTTAATTGTCGGCACGCTTGCGTGCAGGACTACATCGATATTCTTTCAATCACGGTCTCTTGTGCTATAGCGCGGATGCGGCGGATACTCCGCGCATCGTCGTACCTTATGATGAGTAATTGAAGTATCGTTTCCTCTTTGAGGCGCATGATACAGCTTTGAGCGGTCATCTCTGTCGAGAGAAGACCTATGGCTCGGTCAGTCAACACTATTGGTGGCCCAAATTATATAAATGGGTAAGCACATACGTGCATACGTGTGAAACGTGTCAACGGGTCAAACCCTCCGCTCATGCGGCTGCGCCTTTGGCGAGCTTGCCTATACCCACGGGTTGTTGGGAATCCATCAGTGTGGACTTTTTGTGCTTGGTTTACCAACAGATTTGGACGGCAACACTGGTATTGTGGTCTTTGTTGACCGTTTGAGTAAGATGACTCATTTAGCGGCTGTCCCGGCTTCTATTGATGGTGAACGTACAGCACAGCTATTTATCGATCGTGTGTTTCGTCAACACGGTTTGTCTTTGGCAATTGTTTCAGATCGCGATCCTCGCTTTACGGGGAATTTTTGGAAATTTATTTTCAAGGTGCTCGGCACCGGATTGGACATGTCCACCGCGGATCATCCGCAGACCGATGGTCAAGCTGAACACGTTAATCGTATCATTGGAGACATTTTGCGCAGCGTTTGCGCAGATACGCCTCGGCGTTGGAGCTCTATGCTTCCGGTGGTCGAATTTGCCATGAACAATTCGGTCTATGCCTCGACTGGTTACACCCCGTTCTATGTCAACGGCCTCACCCATCCGCGCGTCCCATTGACGCTACCACTCCATGGTTCCGGGCTTGGTGGGGGATGGAATGCCGATCGGCTTGCTGATGTTAGCCCTGCCACTGTTCAGAAACAGGTTGGTGAGTTCCTTTCAACAAGGTTGAATGTCTTACGACATATGCGAGATGCAGTGGCTGATAGCCAAGATAGACAAAATGAAAAAGCAGATGCCAAAGGCAGAATTGCATTGAAAGTTGTGAGGTCGGAGACCAAGTCTTGCTAAACGCTAAAAATCTACCTACAAAGGTAGTGTCAGCTGTTTTTAAAACGAAGTTGCGTCCGCGCTTCATTGGACCTTTTACGGTCGTGGCTAAGAAGGGCCTTGCGTATACGCTCAACTTGCCGCGCAAACTGCGTACACATCCCGTCTTTTATGTCGGCCTGCTTAAGCCATACCGGGACCCGTCCCATGTTGACTTGAAGGCGCTTGCGCCGCGTACATTGGCGTTGCCACAGGATGTTGCATTCGAATTGAGATGTCAAGTTGAGCCTCGCCACGAGTCTGACGTGACTCCATCATCTGAAGACGGGCGTGATCGCCTTCCAACGTCGCCAGACGAGATCGAACTTCGCCCACGGCGTTCTGAGTCTGACCCAAAATCCCACGGAGATCCTCCACTTTCTTCACCAGCTCACCATGGCTTTCAGCCGATACTCCGACCGCCACCGGCATTGCTTGATAAGCAAGGGAACTTAAAGTTCCATGTGTAGCGGGTACTTTAACGACGTCTTCGTCATGGTCACTACCAATATCTGGTGAAGTGGCGTGGGTACCTTGAGTCTGAAAACTCATGGGAGTATGAGATTCCCCTTCGGCAAGACCGCCCATACGCAGTTGACGTTTCTGAGCGCCAGGGCCGAGCTCGTCTTGACGAGCGCCACGCTTCTCACTCGTCGTAGTGAGAGCGGGTGAGTTCGTGTCAAAAGGTTGACGTGAATTCGCGGCTGCAGAGGCAGCCGAAGCATAGCGGGAGCGTGATAATCCCGCGCAGCCGTCCTCTGGCCTTTAACTTCGCGAAGTCATAGCAAAGCTTTCGCTCTAGACGAACGTCTGCCACACTGGCACTTTCGCGTAGCGCTGCAACTGAGGCGTCGAACGCCATGCACCCAGCGGATGAACATATTGTCCTCCGCAGTTTCGTCCCCATCTTCGGAAATAATGATGGGTATACCCCTAATTTGTGGAACCGGTGCTCCTTGGGCCTGCTTTTGCAGCCGTTTTCTGAATTGACTCGAATTCCTCACAGTAGGTTCCAAGTACCTCTCTCGAAGAGCCTTGCGGCATTCGATTTCAGTTGGAGTTTTTGCCTCGGGGCCGGTGGCCCATGTTGCCAAATTATGGCGTGACGCTTGACGAATGAGTTCTTCGACGTCAGGTGGAGTGAACGTATATTCACTGTGTCGTTGCAACGTTGTCTGAACTTCTGACTTGCGCTGTGTGCTTGCCGCTTGATCGAGCATGCGTTGTTGCTCCTCGTCAAGCGGGTTAGTGATGATGGATGTATCCATGGGGGACATTGCTCCCAGCGCTGTTAGCGCAGTCGCGGCACTACGTTCGGGGAACGGATTTGGTGCCGGATGGGGAATGTCCCCACGCACAGGTGTGCTGGGTTTGGATTGCTCCTCCTCCTCGACTTCGGTATCACTACCACTGTCAAAGTCCACGTCCTCGACACCAAGAAATTCGGCTAGAGCCTTATCTTCCAAAAGGTGCCCAGGTCGATTCATGTGAGTGTGTTACTTTGTAACAAGTATTAACAGGAGAATAGGTCGAGTGAAGTTTGTGGTAACGTCAGTCCGGTGGGGGGGTGTAACGGGGTCACACTAGCCTTCGGCTGAATTGGTCAAAGACCTTTCATGAATGATATGAATGAATGTGTGTGACCTTGGATTTTATATCAGCAAGAGATTATCGATTGATCGATATTCCCGGGTTTACGGTACTTACCGTGTACGTACTGTGTACCGTCATCATTTGATGACTGAGTGATGTGGCAACCATTTAGGATAATATAGGGTACATAAAGTAGGATTTTCCCTGATTTAAAATCTAAATAAAGTTCAGTTCTCATTTCGATCAGAAGTCCCTGGACTTCCTCCCCCTTTCGCACCTTGCGTTTGACAGTTCCTTAGAGCTGTTGTGGGTTAGAGAGTCCTTAGACTCCTGTATTCCCTTTTCGCACATTGTACGTGTAGTTCCTTAGAACTACAGTAGTTAAGCTGCTAGATCATAGAGTTCACCCGAGTTCCGTAGAACTGGGTGACTCTTTAACTTGATTTGTTAGTTCCGTAGAACTAATAGGCTGTCAGCCGTAAGCCGTTGGATTGTTGAATAAGTCTTCCTCTGACTTTAAAGGCTGTGTAGCTCCGCTACACTTGGTAGCACTCGTAGTCAATCCCACACCTGAGTCGTGTCGACTAATCCTCTGTGAGAGATGAAAGGCCTTGACTACCTCTTTGAGTCTCAACATACTGCGCTTGATAAGCTTACATCGTTGATAGGTGTCGAGCAGGTCGACCACATTGTGGCCCAATGCCCAGAAGTGCTTAGTGCAAGTCTTAATGCATTTATGCAGTTTGAGGCTACGCTGATAGGGCAGGTCCACGACCATTTATTCTCAGCCGTGCCCACACGGTACTTTTCAGTACCCGACAGTGAGACTAAGACTCGTCCGCTCACCCTTAGCGTTAAGACTTTCGAGGGGAAAGAGGGGGAAGTCTCCTCTCTGGATCCGAGAAATCGATGTGGCTATTGAAGCCTCCTTGCTTCAATCGGAGCGACAGAAAGTTGGCCTAGCCATTTCTTAGCTCGGTGGCAGAGCCATAGAATGGGCTCTTACCTGTGATGCGTCGGTTAGCGCTGCGTCTCCCGCATGGGATTCGCTTAGACGAGAGATGTCTCGGGTGTTCGCGCCACCGAATCAAGCGTATCGTGTTCGCTCTCGATTCCTAGCCGCCAGGCAGGGAAAGAGAGAATTATCGGACTTTGTCCAAGAGTTGCAAACTCTCATAGCTGCTATGCAGCTGGACCCTCTTCCAGAGTAAGTCCGTGTCACCATTTTTATGAAGGGCCTCCGCACGGGGATCGCGAGGACAAAAGTCTTCCGAGTCCACTCCTTAACGTTTGAGGGGGCTGTAGACAAAGCGTTGAATGCTGAGTTCAACTTTAAAGCCGCTCGCTATGGCACTCATAAGTATGCCCCAAGACCATTTGATGGGTCTGAGCCCACGGACCTCAGCCATGCTAAAGAAGAAAAGAGAGAGCTTCTGGCTGTTGAACATCAACGTAACGTCCGTAGATGTTACATGTGCGGAATCACCAAGCACTTGCGCCCTCAGTGCCCACTGCGGAAGCCGCGTCAATGTCGGCCGTGCCGCAATTCGCCTCCTAACTTGAATGTGGGTACGGAGCGGGAAAACGGCAACTCCCAGTAGGCGCGAGCGCCCTACTGGGGAGGAACTAGCTTCTGCCGAATATTTAGGTGGTATGGATAGACAGGGATCAGCCCCAGACGGTCTCGTGGAAGTTTCCACGAGACGTGAGTATAAGCCAGACTTTTTAGTGGCCTCGGCTACAATTAAGGCCTTCGAAGAGACGTGGTCAATATTAATTGACTCTGGAGCGTTAGACAACTATGCTCGACGCCGGTCCCTAGAGAGATGCCAGCAATATGTTGAGGCGCTGAAAGTGCATGAGGGTGATGTAATCACTGTTCACTCAGCGACAGATACTCGTGTCACCTTCCCTAATGTTCCGTTGAACTTAGGTGTGAAATGTTTAGATCTCGATAGTATCGAACGTTGTCTGGTCCTGGATTTGAACTCGAGATATGATCTCATCCTTGGTATGGCTTGGATTCAACGCCATGAGCCATGGGTTGATTGGAGGTCGAAGACCTTAGGCGCAACGCGCAACAGTCTAGTGAAGCTCTGGAGAGTCATGAACCTACCTTTGCTAGGCAACAAAAGAGCTATTGGCGCGCGCCATTGACGAAGTCTTTCAGTGTGCTTGACGTTGGAGTGTCTGAGCTAGTTAACTTTGATGTCATTGACAATGAAAAACGGCACATAACATGTTATGTGACACTAGTAATGACAGTGAATCATGAATGCTGGAAGCATTGATGGCTTAAGGCCGAGTCATCCTGGGTGTGATCCCTGTGATGCGCGTCGAGTGGCACGTAAACATCCACAGAGTGAGGTCGGCAGTGATGGCATCCCACTAAATGTCGGTAACGATGTTGCTGGCGATTCGCCAAGGCATCAAGAGCTATGCTCAACAGATGCGAACATAGTGGATAACTGTCCACAGAGTGAGGCCGGCCGTGATGGCACCCCACTAAATGTCGGTAATGATGTTGTTGGCGATGCGCCAAGACAGCAAGATCTATGCTCAACAGACGCGATTATAGTGGATAACTGTCCACAGAGTGAGGCCGGCCGTGATGGCACCCCACTAAATGTCGGTAATGATGTTGTTGGCGATGCTCCAAGACATCAAGATCTATGCTCAACAGATGCGATTATAGTGGATAACTGTCCACAGAGTGAGGCCGGCCGTGATGGCACCCCACTAAATGTCGGTAATGATGTTGTTGGATATGCGCCAAGACATTAAGATCTATGCTCAACAGACGCGATTATAGTGGATAACTGTCCACAGAGTGAGGTCGGCCGTGAGGGCACCACACTTAATGTCGGTAATGACATTGGCTCTCTAAGAGAGCAGGTCGAGGTTGAAGATAATCTTCACCTCGTAGAACCGGATGTTCCTAACACGTTAAAGTGTTCAGTTTCTAAACAGAGACGACAGCGACGCCAGATGGCGGCTGTGAAAAGAAAGGCTTCTGCCATGACCCAGAAGGACACTAGTGAACAGTTGTCCACGTTAGTCATTGGGTTTCGGGTGCGATTGATGGAGAAGTTGGCCTCGAGGCCCTCCCATCGGTTAATGCTCTTCTAGAGCTAAACGAAATATCTGTAGACGAATTTCAACAAGCTTTAAAGGCTAATGCTATTTCCGATACGGTGGTCCTTAGACCTGATCTTGAGTTGAACTCGTCAGCCCTTGCAGATGAGACAGTCCTTGAGGACGTTAAAGTTGCACTCAGTCCTCGCAGTGGATCTGCCATTTTGAAGGATCCTTCGGATCCCTTCTATCCTATGGTAAAGGAATTTCAGGACGTGGTGTGTCATGATCCACCATCCACTCTACCTCCCGACAGAGGTGTGCGTCATGAAATTGACCTGATCCCTGGGACCAAATATTGTGTTACACGACAATGGCCATTGCCTAAGAAACAGTTTGACGTCATTGACGCGTTCTTTGGTGCAAAGCACGCGGCAGGCATGGTGCGGGAAACAAATCTCCACACTCCACACCGACATATTTTTCAGAAAGCCCAATGGTAAATGGCGTATTGTGAACGCTTACAATAAGCTCAATGCGGCCACTATATCTGCGCAGACACCCATTCCAAGAAAGCATTTTCTTCAGAACGCTATGGTGGATTGCACCATGCTTAGCGCACTCGACTTAGTCGATGGTTATTACCAACTGCTCATGCGAGCGAGTGATATCTCGCTCACAGCGCTTAGCAAGCCGAGTGGCATGCTTAGGGAGTTGCTTGTTATGCCTCAGGGACTTTCTAATGCCCGCGCAACCTTTAATCGTCTCTTGACGCAGTTGTTCTGCCCTCATAGAGGATATGCACAAGGCTATTTTGATGACATTTTTGTCCATAGCCGTGCAGAACAAGGAAGATCAGATGTGGAAAATCATATTGACCATTTACGAGCAGTGCTCGGGTGCATGCGCACCAACAAGTTGTAAGCAAATGCATCTAATTGCATTTTTGGTGCTGAAGAAATCCCCTCTCTAGGGTGCTTCACTGTAAAGAGCGGCCTACAGGCAGATCTCGCTAAGGTAAAATCCATTGTGGATTGGCCGGTTTCGTCCAACCCAAAAGACTTGCGTAAATGGCTTAGCCAATTACTCACAAAAGTATAGTGCAAACTATGCTGACATGGCACGGCCATTAGCCAACCTCCTTTAAAAGGACGCGGTTTGGTATTTGGACTCGGTCCAGGCGCAAGCTTTATAAGCTGTTAAGGAGAGTCTCCTTCATGCTCCAATTTTGGCTTTGCCTGACCCGGAGTGACCTTTCACTGTCGTCTGTGACGCATCTGAGTTTGCCATTGGCAGTGCATTGTTGCAACCTGATGTCGATGAACATGAGCGCGTCATTGCGTATGGGTCTCACCAGCTAAAAGCTGCTGAAAAGAACTATCCAGTTCATGACAAAGAGTTACTTGCAATAAAGTTTGCTCTTGTCAAGTTCAGAGTACATCAACTTGGCTCCAAGCCGTTTGTAATATACACGGATCATGCATCGTTGCGCACTGCGACCCAGTCGCCTCATATCTCGCAACGCATAGCCCGTTGGTTTTCATAATTCGCTGAGTATAACATCGAGGTGAGGTGTAAACCAGGGAAGCAAGCTGCTTTGGCCGATGCGTTATCACGCAGGCCGGATTATGATCTTGCTCATGTTACGACTCTGTCGTCTTCTATCCCTGATTTAATTTGTGCGGCTAATGCCAAGGATAATCAGTGTGTCGCGTTGTTACGCGCGCTCGGTTGTGATGACTTTATAGACTCGGACATTTAATTGTCGGCACGCTTGCGTGCAGGACTACATCGATATTCTTTCAATCACGGTCTCTTG